CGATCCCCAGCGCGACTGCCCTCTGGCTCGGCGCCCCAGGGGTGCGTGCGGGGATCGGGGCCAGGCCCTTCACCCCTCCTTCCCTCCCTCCTCCCGAGGCACCTATCCAGAGCGCCCCCGCTCCCCCCTCCCTCTGTCCCCTATTTATGCAGGAGCTGGGGGGTAGTGCGGCACCTATCAGCTGTTTAAAAAGCCTTCCTTGCGGCGCCGATCAGCTATTTTACAAGCATTGCTTTGCCATGATCGGTTCCCCAAGCAGGGAACTGATCATCGTAAAGCAAAATTCCCCCATAGGGAACATTGCAAAGCGATCGCAAAAGCGATCTCAAAATCTTCATTGCAAAGCGATTTCATCATTATCCGAAGCAATCGCTATGTGAGGCACCACTGTAAATATAGATTTGGTCATGTTCAATACATCTTCTGATCAGATATTTGATTTTAAGAAGTCTGCTCTTTCATATGATTTTCTAGGTCTGTCCTATTGAGTTACAGTTAAATAGGATCTTTACTACGTGCTGGCACTGTGGGTTAAACTGCAGAAGCCTCTGTGCTACAAGGTCAGAAGACCAGCAATCATAAGATCGAATCCACGCAACGGAGTGAGATCCCGCTGCTTGTCCCAGCTCCTGCCAACCTAGCAATTCGAAAGCATGTAAAAATATGAGTAGATAAATAGGTACAACCACAGTGGGAAGGTAACAGCGTTCTGTGTCTAGTCGTGCTGGCCACATGACCACGGAAACTGTCTTCGGACAAACACTGGCTCTATGACTTGGAAACGGAGATGAGTCGGACACAGCTGGACAAGGGGACAATGTCAAGGGGAACCTTTACCTAGGATCGTTACACAACTAAAAAAGCATACAATAATTAAAAACCTTTAGCATTGGAATCTGTATGTCTTTAGCAACAAAATACAGTGGTACCTTGACTTGCGAACTTAATCCATTTTGGAATGTTGTTTGTAAGTTGAAATGTTCATAAGTCGAAGCACCATTTCCCATAGGAATACATTGAAAACCAATTAATCTGTTCTGGCCAAAGACACAGACACACAGACACACAGACACACACACAGACACAGACACA